ACTATAATACTTTTATTGCTATTAGAAAAGTACTTAAATATCATTTTTATTCAATTAAGAATTTTTCTAAAAAAAAATATGATTCCAAACCCTACTACTGAAAACTTTATATCTTTTGTGTCTGTTATATAGCCTAATTAATGTACAAAAGTGCAGCTTAGGTTTCATAAGAAACCCTAGTATGATTTGCATTTTTTTTTCCTTTTATGCAGGTGCCGTTGGACAGGGAAAGAATTCCTGTCTCTATCAAATAATGTCTTATTATTATACAATTTACATCCATATTAACAGCACAATATTGATAGTGCTCCGTAGAAAGGAGGGAAAAACAGATCCCTTTTAAGCACGGTCGTATATATATGTTGGTAATTCTTTTTGTTTTTCCTGCTTTCTAGTTTATGAACGTTCATAAGCCTTGTTTATGGTCCCACCATCGTAATATGGAGAAATAAAAACATAATATGACATTTATTTAACTGAATACATACAATTAGAGTATATTAATAAATAACAATATTATTTATATATATTGTTAGTTTATTAATCCATCTCAAAACTTAAGTTGTTAGGAGGTAAACAATAGTTTTTATACTTTAACACTCTTTCTCACGTGTGGACTAGACAATGAATAATCGTGTGAGAAAATTAATTAGAAAACTTAATACGTAAATATTTAAGCTCGAAATATATTAAAAACCCGACACATTATGAAAATTTAAATAAGAATAAAGAGTATAATTATAAAAATTTAAATTTAAAATCTCTTATTCTTAATTTAGTAATCCATTATAAAAATTTAAATTGTTAAAAAGTAGGTAAATAATAACTTTTATACTTTAAGATATCCAGTTAGAGTAGACTTTGTAGTTGTGGTATATCTTTCGATGCCTAAAACTAGGTTAAGACTTTGAACCTTGATGAGTCATAAAGACCACATGAAAGCAATCATTTCATTTCGGTAGCAAGGGAGATTGGTCCATCGCGCTTACTTTATGGGATGAAAGGATGTAGATTTTGAACGATCTTATATACGTGTAGTGTACAAAAATGAAGATATTTCATTTAATTTGGCATGCGAAAAAGTCGTCATATATTATTATTACAGCGTGACTGACAACGATCATTAATTTGTCTTTAGCCAAAACCAAGTCTCCACTCCAACCAATTACCAACGCAATATTTCTGCTGCCCTACCTCTCACAGTCACAGACACTCGCAAAAATAAACACGCAAACACCTCCCACATATTCACCCAACACACACACACATATAGATACAGTTGTATATATAAACTATAAAGAGCTCTCTTATAATGGAGAACTATATTTGGGAAGTGGGAACAATGATTCGGGTTAGATTGTACTAGTGTTACGTTTTAGATTGTACTAGTTTTAAAATTTATCAATTTACCACCGGGTGTGATAAGAGCGTAACGGTAAAAAATGATCTATCAGTTTTCTTTTTCTTATCATTCATAAATGATTTTTATTGTCGATTATGAGACTTCAAATATACCTCTCATTATTTGTCGAATATAACTTGGACAGGTGTGATTTTGAACTCTCGTAACACTAGTTGATAAAATTATTTTGTCAAATGAGGGTTGGTACTTCAGTGACGTGAAGGCGCTACTGATTTTTTCTTTTCTCAGCAAAAGAATGGACACTTGGCTGAATTTCACAGTTAATAGTGTGAGGCAAAGATATTGGTAAAAGCCCACTTCTCATTTCTGTGATTCAAATTGATCAATAGACATGGTTATACTACCATTTTCGTACTAGCCACTATGCAGTTTTTGCGAAAATGAGAAAGTTTAGAAAGGGGGCACCGAAGATAGAAAGAAAGAATATCATAGTGAGAAAAATTAGGGATACGTCACACTTTTGGACTTCAGATTAAAAAAAAAAAAAAAAAAAAAAAAAAAAATTTTTTTTTTTTTTTAAATTAAGTTAACTGTATGCTAATGTCACTATTTATGCATTTTGAGGCCCAGCATTTTAAGTCGCCTACTGAATACCAGTATGAACTACACTTCACTATTTAAATACGTTACTTAAATGAAGTTAATAGACCCCTTTTAAAACGAAAGGGAGTTAATAGAGCTAAATATCGCTATCATTGTGATTTATACTTCCACACAAGAATGTTATGCACGGATTTATTCTTGAAATGTTGTCCTTCAAAATATACACGCATATATTTTTTTCTTGAACTGGAGTTGGAAAATTTGAATTTAGATAATATATGCAATCACTGTAATATACACAATTTAATGAAAAACCTTTATAACTATCGCTCGTATTATTCTCATTTTCCTCACACAAAAAAGGATGCCTTATTACTAAAGATTTTTAAGAAGGAAACTGAGAAAAAGTGTTTTTAGCAGCAAGTTAGGTCATGATTTCTCCTTTACAACCTTTTGTTTTCTTTGATTGTTACTTTTGCTTACAATTCATGTTCAATTTGCGTTTGGAACGCGCTTAACGACGCCATATGTTGTTTTAATGGTTTATTATTTTCTAATAATTCCGTTTTAGGTTCTCAAGAGTCAAGACGGCATATGTGAATTTTCAGTTCCATTCGTTGTGTTCCATCACTATTTTGTCATATCAAGTAAGTTAAAGGATTTAGACACGTATTAAATACTAAAGCTACATACGTTATTAAGGTAACGTTTGGTTCATAATTTTAATTTTTGAAATTCAAATTTTTTATGAGAGAAAAATGTTGTAGCAGAACTAAAAATCATGATCTTAAACCAGACAGAATCCTTAAAACAAACCTCATATCTAAATGAGCTGTTAAAATATAGTATTTGGAGGACAACCAATAAGACAGCAAAAGGGGCAACAAATTTGAAGTTCGCGTGTTTCCTAATTTTTAAGTTCCAACACCACAAAAACCAGGTATAACCTTATACAAGAATCAAATAAGCCTGTGAATCAAATTATCGTTCCGAACATTCGTAGCAAAACTCCCCGTCTTCCAGGAAAACATGGTTAGATGAGAAGTTCCAATATTACTGAGTTGTGCTGTAATGGCCCAATAGTACATGGTCTTTTTAGGTCCAGAATTCATTGCCTCGTTTTTTTGGACTTGGGTTACATTTGTCTCATGGGTTCGGCCTGAAGTTTGACCCCATGAGCCACTTACACTGCTGCTCGGTAGGTCAAAGAGGCCCATTTTTGAAATGATTGGCGGTTCCATTTTTTCTAGTAGCTATGTTACTGAATCTTACAATGGATTTAAGGGAAAATTTTAATGACGTTTGTTTTGAGTTTAAATAATGTTACAACTTTCTTTTTAAAAAAAATTTTAATGGGTAAATAAAAAGAGCATATGAATAGCCAATTCAATGAAAATTTACCCCGACCTCACGTTAAATTAGACAGATATACAAGCAAAATGAAGTAAAATATCGGGATACCCCACCCCTTTTACCTCTCTAATTGTTACATTTGTAAAAGTTGAAAGTTCTCTCACCGAATAAATTTAAAGCTAACATTAAATTGGATAAGAAAAAAAATATATCTGAATGCAAACTTTAGTGTCACCGAATATCATATTTACTCTATTCCTGAATCTTCATGTCCGTAAAGAGTAAAGATTAAAGGCCAATGAGAATGTAGGCATGAACACACATTTTAATAAAGAAAAGACCGTTACATCTGCTAGACTAACTCTAAGAACAACGAATTGAGTATCAGATACAATCGCTAAAATATTGTATATTAATTGATTAGATAGATGCTTTTCGGCATCTTAAAACCACAGCTCCGATGATTTGGCACAATTCCGTATGAGTACAGCCCCTGATTCAAGTTTAGAATTTGAGTTTTACTACGGTAAAAAATTCTCAAAAATAGTCACATCTAACTTTTTGATACAGTAAAAAATTCTTACATAAAATCACATCTAAACTCGAATCAGCGAATTAAACGAGCTCTACATAACCAATAAGTTCCACAATTGTGTGATTGCATAACCAATTCTCTAATTTCTACTCACGTAGAGAAGTGCCATCTCATCTGGAGTTGTGCAGAGTTAGTGTTTTTGCAATGTTGAATATCATTTTTCAATTAATTAAGCAAATAATATGATTATTACTAAGCTTCAATGCGGAGTTTATGATTTCATCTTATAACGGAAAAAAAAAAAATGAGTGCATGTCAATTGTCAAGCCAAACAAGATCTCATCACTAACTTGTAATTTAGAAGGAGAAAATGGCGTCATTATGAACGTCCATTAATGGACTCATATTCCTTAAAATATTTGTACAAAATATACCGGTCTTTATTATTATTATTATGAGACTATTTTTTAGAAATAATAATTTGGATCCTAATTACTTTCTATTAATTAATCTTTGTTATCAAAGAATTTTTATAATATGTTCTTTCTAACTACCGATAGCTACTGATATTTTAATTATTGAGTTAAATACATAATAATTAATCTGTTATTATAATAATTATATGTGACGTGCTCTAAATTTTTAATATGACCACTCTCTGACCATTAAATCTTGTTTTAATAGCTAAAATAACAAAACTTATCGATAATTAAAGGGCTCGTTTAGTTCGCTGATTCGAGTTTTTAATTCGAGTTAAGATGTGATGTTATGTGAAAATTTTTTACTGTAATAAAAAAATTAGATATGACTGTTTTTATAAATTTTTTACTGTAATAAAACTCAAATTGACAAAATGAACGGGATCAAAAAGAGCGTAGAAGTTTCTTTCTTCCTTGTCCATAACCGTAATGTTAAAGACATGGCCGTAACGTCCACGTATTATATCGAGAACCTTTCTTTTCCCCGCCATCTGGAAACGACCATAAATAAAACCCGGATCGCATTACGTGGACCCCACGAAAGTTCCAAAGATATCGCCACGTGTTGAAAGCTGTATTCCTGTCTTTTGTCTTCCCCCACTTAAAAGAGCGCCATTTGCCTCTTCACTCATTCATTTAAAACTTTCATTTCATCCCAAAACAAAAAACCCTCACTCTTTCTCTCCTCTCTGCAAAACCCTAAAAACCTCTTCTTCTTCTTCTTCTTCTTAGTAATCCGATGCGGTAAACCTTATCCTTGCTTACCATGCATCCCCACTCCTACGCCGTCGATTCCCTCTCCAAATCCCAAGACCTCGCCGCCGCAATCCTCGCCGCCGCCACCCCCGCTCAGATCTCCTCCGCCTGCGCCTCCATCGACTCCTTCCTGCACTCCCACTTACCTGACCAGTGCCGCCACTTCTTCTCCCTCACCTTCCCAACCCTAATCTGCAAGCTCTTCGGCTTCGACGACGCCGTTTCATCATCCTCCTCCTCTCCGCCGTCACCACCGCTATCATCATCATCATCGTCGTCATCCAACGGCTGGATTGACACCGTAATCTCATCCAACGACCCCGATTTGGCCAACAAGGTCTTCGCTTTGCTCGCCCCTGATGGTGTCCTCTTGAGCTCAATCTCCGCCGTCGATCGCCTCTCGCTCGTCAAGTACGTGTTCCCCAACGAGCGGTTGCCGGAGTGGGCCCGGTTTGTCCTCTCCTCGGAGAAAGATTCCTGGGTAATATCCGATCTTTGCCCCATTTTCAAAGGTAGGGTTAAGGAAGATTCAATTAAGGGCTCTGTTTATCAAGTTCAGCTTAATGTGTTTGAGTATTACATGTTTTGGTTCGCTTATTACCCTGTTTGTAGAGGAAACAATGAGAATTCGGACAATAATTCGGTAGTTAAGAGGAATAGGAGGTTCAAATTGGAGAATTGGGTTTCTTCCATTTCAGCCTTTTCGAGTAGTAGTAGTAGACGTAGTTCGGAGCATAAGACAGAATGCAATTTCTACGTTAGGCTTCTATATGCGTATCTTCACGCATTTGTGCCCGTGAGTGATTTGAATTCGCACCAGCGTTACCGGAGTTCGCTTCTTCATTACTCGCCGAGCTACGACGCTTCAATTATTATGCAGGCCGAGTTCCTTGTCTATGCTTTTATTCACTTTTGGTTGGTTGACAATGACTCTTCACCCTTACCGGTTGATTTGTGCAAGTCCTTTGGTGTGACTTTTCCGTTCCGGTCGGTTTTGGGCGAGACTCTTCCGACTGCTGGGCTGGGGGAGGTGGTGAAGCTGTTTGTGAAGTATTTGAATTTAAGTTCTGTAGTGCAGGAAGATGGAAATGAGAATGTTGAATATAGTAATGGGAGTCCGAGGTGGAGGACGCCGGGTTTGTTTGATGCTTCAAAGTCGAGGAATGTTACAGTGCCATCGCCATATGTACGGTCTGTTGGGTCTTGGAATTTGACGATACAGAGGCCGCTGTATAGATTCACATTGAGAACATTCCTGTTTTGCCCTATGGGCACTTCAATAAAAAATGTGTCCGATGTATTTTCAGTTTGGATTTCTTATATAGAACCTTGGAGGATCAGCTTGGATGACTTTTTGGATCTTGATGCCACAGTTGATGGATCAACTAAGACCACAACGAAGGAGGATTTGTCTTCCCAAGATTGTGGGTATTCGCCTTATTGGCAGGGTTATGTGTTGTCCAACTACTTATACTATAGTTCCTTGGTTATGCATTTCATTGGGTTCGCACACAGGTTTCTTCATGCTGATGTGGAAATTATAGTCCAGATGGTCTTGAAGGTTTGCTTCTTAACCATAGTTTTTCCTTATGAAGGCAATTCTGTGCCATAGAATTCTAATTGAGACACACGTTGAACATTCGATTGCTAGGTAGTTTTGTATTGTTGCTTTAAGAGCTTGAGATGTTAAATACTTTAGGCTTGTGGTTGCTGCATCTCAGCTTGTCACTTGGTCAGCCTTAAGACCTAGTTCTTGGAATAGGCATGTTGAATTTGAGAATAACGTGATTGTAATTTCATACAGTATGGCCATGGTGAATGTCTAGCAAGAGTTTTGATATATTGTCAGTTTCATGCTAAAACAGTTGTTTTGTTCCTTAGAGCAAATCACTTCAGTTTTCATTATTGGTGTAATTTTGTTACCTTTAGCATCTTTTTGTTTGTTTATTTATTTATTTATTAAACTTCTCTCTCTTTGTTGTCCTTACAGGTTATAAGTATATTGACTCAATCCAAAGAGTTAGTTGACCTTATAAAGATGGTGGACTGTGTTTTCCATTCAAAACAAACTGGGACAGGAAAGCCACTGCTCAATAGCTTGTATAGATATTTACCTTCAATCCGTGAACAGTTGAAGGTATAGTTAACTCTCCCTTCTTTATTTTCAATGAATTAAGAATATCTTCAATGCAGTGACAAATATGTGTCCATCTCAAATTTTGGCATTTGGGTAGGGGAACCACTCTCCCCATCCAGTGCTATTTTTGGTACTAAATTTGACATATATTGGCACCAAGGTATAGCATATGCGGAATTTTAGAATTTAGAAATTAACTTATTATTGGTTGATGTGTCGACCTTTTTATTCAATAGTTACAACATTGCTATTTTCACATTGTTGAAAAGTTAAAACATTGACTATTTGAAGTTCTAAATCTTAATAACTACGACAAAAAAAAAAAAAAAATTACTACCTCATGGCTCATCATGCCTTCTATAACGAGGGCACAATTGATTTTGCAGTAGCCGATATCACCAACTAATTCTATGATTATCTATTGATTATGCTAGGACTGGGAGGATGGACTATCTGAGACAGATGCTGATGGATCTTTCTTGCATGAGAATTGGAACAAAGACTTGCATCTCTTTAGTTGTGGAGAAGATGGTGGCCAGCAACTACTTCAGGTTTTTAAGTTCACTATTCTTCTCTCCCCTTTTGCCCATTAAAATTTAAAACTATACATAAATTTGCTTTCATAGCAGTATCGTGTATATGTATACACTTGTGACCTTGACCTTTTGCTCATGATTCTGTTGTTACAGTTGTTCATACTGCGAGCAGAAGCTGAGTTGCAGGCCATTTCTGGTGACAATCTTGCTCAGAATCTTCAATGTATAGATTCATTGAAAGCACAGGTGAGCTGCTTATATGGTGGCCACACGGTGAAGCCAGTGTCATTTTCTCTGGAACCAAAACAGCAGCAACAGGCCCGCGATGACATATTCAAGCCCAGAAGAGTTGGCAGTCATACATTGGCGAATGTAAAATACAAGGGTGACTGGATGAAGCGCCCCATCTCCGATGATGAGGTCGCATGGCTTGCAAAACTCTTTGTCTGGTTGTCAGATTGGCTGAATGAGAATCTCAGAATCAATCAGCCGGATAATGGCCAGCTAGGCCCGACATGGTCTTATGTAGAGGTTTCAAGGGATGATGCAGACAATGTATGTGGATCCGCGGAGACAGTGAAGGCAGTCTTGTGTGCTCTTGGTTCTTGGATTCTTATGCTGGGTACAACAGTGGTGAGGCTAATGAAAAAACATGGTCTAAGGGTGAACCTTCGGATCTTAGCATCAAAGAAGGTCGTCATGGTTTTGCTTTTGTATGCTGTATTTAGTATTCTCAGGAAAGCTTTTGGACATTTTCGCAGGGTGTAGATAAGGGTGGAAAAGGAGTTTTGATGAAAAAAAAAAAAAACAAAGAACGTTTATACAGGATGGGGGAATACCTTTTTACCTTCAGGGAGTTTTGTTTGCCTCTTTGTAAGTAATTGTTAAATGTCAGCATGAAAGGTTGTACTAGTTATTTGTTTCTTAATATACCTTGTTGGTGATTTTTCTCCCCAGTGTTGGCCATTTTTTTAATATACGTCTGTTTCCTTCTTCAAATGCAACGAGTGATACAAGTCTTTCCGAATAATCTTTTTTTTTTTTTTTTTTTTTTTTTTTTTGGCTTTTTTTTTTTTTTTTTTTTTTTTTTTTTTTGGCGTTTGTTGTTCATTCTAGGTTGGCACAATATAGCCTGGTTTTCATGCACAACAATTACAAGTGTCAAACTAGTAAAAACTTGGAAAGATCTTTTGGATGATATGACAAATGTCTCGAGGATGGTCCAAGAAGCAAGAAAACTCGACAAAACTCTCGCGCCACTTCTATCCTACTTTTCTTTAGGGACTGGACTAGGATGCTTGAACGAAACATGCTTCGTCACCTTTAGTTGATGAAAAAAAAAAAAAAAAGAAGCAAGCAAGCAAGTATGCTTCACTTCGCAGTATACTCGGCCATTCTTTCCTTGTGTCCGTTAAAAAAAAAACAAACAAACAAAAACTTGAGATCCAAGCCAAATTATATAAGGGAATTTCATATATTGCACTTTGGTGAACAATCTGCCGTGTAAATCCTGTTTCTGCTCAAAGTCAAAACTACTCAGCCCTTGGGATTTACTTTAGATGCGGTTCCAGAAAACATGGAACCCAGAAATTTTCTTTTAATAAAAAAAAAAAGTCTGTAAATCAGAGCTTACGTCCTTTATGACTGTTCAACTTAAACTCGTATATTACTGAACATTCACGTCGGAAAGGGTGTACAAGTTACAGATGTTGACATGAACATACCCAAATTGAAAAAAAAAAAAAAAAAGTGGATATTTGGTTTATAGATTCAAAATCTTAATTCAAAATCATTCTGATGTTACGTTTATTTTTTTGAGAGAAAAACACTATAGAAAATCATGAATCATAATTCAGAATCAAGAACGAAAACAGAAAACAAATATCCCCAAAGTTTTATGCACCTGACCACCTTTGTTTAACGTCTAAGGTTGATAGGCGGGTACAGACTCCTCCGTCATCTTTTTCTATACAACTCCAAAAACTTGGGCAATTTCAAAATCCTGAAAATATGCGTTGGAACGAGAGAGATTAGTTATTTCTTAAGTTGGATTGCAACAGCATTAACAAAAACAGATCACACAACCAAAAATAATAAAAAAAAGAGCCCGAACACAGAACCTAAGAAGAAAGTGAAATAAGTTACAACATAGTGATTAGTGACATACAACCTATGAGGAAAGAGCAATACGTCCCACAAAGCACGAGTTTAGTTTGGCTATTAGTTTTCCTTTAGAACTACATCATGTTTTCACTAAATAATAGGTGTTCTAGTGGATGATGAGATATAAGTTAAAAAATTATACTCGAAAGCTTTCCTGTCAAATCAAATGCTACCATGAGTTCCAAACAACACAAAACCTCTTAGCCAGACATACTTTGATTTTGTAGGTATATTCAAGATGTGGGGTCTTATGAACTGGGCCGAAAATCTTTTTTTTTTTTTTTAAATACTTAACAAAAAGAAGTAAAACCAATTACTAATAAGCGAACAGAAATGATGAGTGTATTTAGAACTCGTTTTAAAATGATTTTATTTTTTATATGAAAATAGAAATGAAAACATTTTCAATCTCAGACAGAAATCATTTTTGAAAATACGTTTGGTAGTTTTATCAAGAGATTGTTTTCAATATAAAAAAACTCATTAATGTCTCTCTCTCTCGGCTCGAGAGAGGAGAAAACGAAAATAAAAAATAAAAAACGACTAAACCAAAAAATCGTTTTCATTTCCGTTTCTTGTCTTTAATTGTGCCAAACGCCGTTTTGAAATCGTTTTCATTTTTTATTTCTCAAAAAACGTGAAAAATAAAAACAAGAACAATTCCAAACACGGCATATATTTTTCAATTTCAACGAAAAAGAAAATTAAAATACAGTGGCGTAAAGTCATAAGCTATGGAGTAGAACCTAATTCGCATAATGAATAAAGTGAGCTATCAACTGCTATACCTCTAACATGACTTCTCACACCGGAGGCACCAATGTTCTTCCCATCAATTATTTATGTGTATTGAGTTAAGCACTCGGGCCGTTGAACACGAAACCAGGCTTAATGCAATAAATGCTTAGTTGAATTCCTCGAGTGCTGTGGGAGTAAACAGTCATAAGCCCTTCGGTGGTTCGGTACTTGAGATTAGTGAAAGCTCTGTGAAAACTTGGTCATACGTATCTTGATTATCTATTACGACTGTGGGATTTGAATCTGGTTTAGCCTGTTAAACCAGATGGAGTGCAGAATCATGTGGAACAGATCGTGCCTTACTGGTCTTGGGTTCCAAAGAAAATGCTTCTGCACCATCTTCACATTAATTTGCATAGTAAGATATCTTTTCATTGGAATAGCTAATAAGATCTCTTTCAATTTGGGAATGTCCTTCTCAGCCACAAGCACGGAAAATGCACTCCAATCTAGCACCTCACTAAGAGGAAGAACAAAGTTGTCGGCAATAATCACCGGGACACATTCATAATATATGGCCTCAATGATCCTGGGGCTGTTGACTTCATATCCCATTGGGGAGATACAATATTTACTTGATTTCATGTGTTGTATGTAAGACATCTTTCGGGCTACTCGAGCAGGTAAAGGACCATAGATTCTCATGTCTTCATCTTTGTCACGCCAATGCTTGACTAGTGTTGGACGTACTCTGCCATGCATGTTACCAGCAAAAAAAGCGAGTATAGGGCGCTGTGACACTCTCTTACCACCAACATTTCTAAGTGGCCTCCTAGGAGTCCTTATAGTAGTTTCTGGCAGGGAAACATCCTTTCCAAGAACAAAGATTCCTTCCGAAAGATCAGCATTGCATAGAGCTTTTATGGTATTTTTGCTCAGTTCCTTGTGCTCATTGACTGTGTAAGGGCCCTGCAAATCTATAAGTTAATACAGAAGAAAAAGAATCTACAAATCTATTTTGAAGGATTCATTATATTCTTGACATCATAATTAACAGATGCTTATGTGCAGTAAGTGCACTGAACACAAATAATATGGATCAGGATCATTCACGATCGTGCAACGACTTATAAATCTGGTAGGTATCCATAGAGCAACTAGAGCCGAATGTTTTAACAACAATGTCTAAGGAGCAAATTGATGCTAGCTCAAGTAGTTGGGTGCGTGTGTCCACTAGGGTTCAAATCCTAGTAGTCTCATTTTTTGTTAGTAAAGTAGGAGTCGTAAGCCCCCACACAGTATGAGAGAGAGAGAGAGAGAGAGAGGGAGAGAGAGAGAGAGAGAGGGAGAGAGAGGTCTAACGTATCACATTTGCAACTAGACATGAAATTAATACTACATATTCAGTAAGGATTCTTCCTACATGAAGCCCACTACTGGCTTCTTCCGGCCAGATGCTCATGGTGTTTCAAGAACACATATTGAGTCCCCTGATATATTTTGCACATGAGCATCTTCAAAAGCAGATAATTTCAATGAAAGAAAGATAGTGATGGACTTTTACAATGAAACTCTCTTCTGCGCACACCTTACCTCACAAATCTTGATTGACAATTCAAATTTATTTACCACTAAAATCATTAGCATTAAAGCAACATAAGTAGTAGCATAAACGCTATCAGGAATTCGATAAACATTGCATCATTTGCCGGCATCCTCCAACATCACACAAATTTTCTATATTACAGGTTTGAAAGAGTAAACACATTATAATTGCTCTGCATTTTAAAGCAACTATACAGTGCAACAGAAATTTATTTGTTAAGTGAAGGACAAAAAACTCAACAGAATGCCAATTAATCAAAAAAACAATGCAACTGTGTTCCGAGTGCATTAAGTTTTTTAACTAAGAAAATTTAACGAGCATAATAGACAACAACTACTGATAATAGAAAATCAAACATACCCAGTCATGACAAGCGACAAGGAAGTGATCCGATCCATGTGTGCGATTCCAGAAAGGATATTTTGCCGCAATCTTATTCACATAGTTCCTTAGGAATATTGAGAGCGGTTTCAAATTGTGTGATTCAGGCTTATAAAGAGCCAGTTCCAGTTGGCGTGCACTGTATGGCATGTAAAATAAGTGAGCCTTTTCAGGGTCCCTTGTGACAAACTGCTTGTTTCCCTCCATTAACCTCATAAACCATCCTTCAGAAGCATAGATTCCGCGGAGATGTGGTTGGTGAAATATGGGTCTCGCTCCATCAGGATAAATATAAACTTTAAGTATCATTTCCATCAATTCATAGCTCCTAAATGGAGGAAAGATATGGCTTTCAGTTGCAGAGAATACTTCCAATGGAAAACGGTGAAAATATCCTGTATGCATATCAGTTGTCTTTGTCGTAATTGATGTTGTATATGACATGGCATATATATGTGTTTGTTATGAGAGAGAGAGTACAGAACACCCAATTTCATAATTTTTGCATTCAAAGTACATTCTCTCTGTCTCTCTGTCTCTCTGTCTCTCTCTCTCTCTCTCTCTCTCTCTCTGTACTATCTCTCCAGCTACAGATGGATCAACCATAGGAACGTAACTCCATAGAAACCCCCTCCCTGTAATGTCTAAAGGATGGGTGTGACTACAAAATTCCACAACTATCTTTCTTATTGCACAAGGTTCCCTTGTGGTGAACTACAATTTCATAGATCTAGCTATGTTTTTAGAAATAACTGATGAATGGCAAGCTCAGAACCAAAAGAACACGAGAATAAAGACATGTCTAAAAGAATCCCATCTTAATTTTCATATATTTTCTAAATGAGGGGGTGGGAGAAACTAAATTAATAAGAAAATCCAGAACATGAATTATTCTGTGCATGACAGCCGAGGAAACTTGCCTCAGACCACAATCCCGCATCTGACTCTTCCTAAGACTTTATACACCTAAATTTTAACATCTTACTTTCTACCTTTAAGGATATATATTCTAACTTCTAAAGTGAGGTCACAAATGGAGTGGAATTTAAGACACACAAAAGAAAAAAAGAAAAAAAAAAAGAAAAGAGGGTTAAGTAACTCACCTTTTAAACATTGAAACATTCAGAAATAAGGGGGCATATAATTCTGGATCATCAGTAACCAATGGCGCACGCTCGATTTCTTTCCTTGCATACTCGAGTGCCTCATTAGGTTTCAAGGACCAAATGAATTTCTGAGATATGTATTAGAAACCAATCACACTATTGAAATAGCCTCCTTTATTCATTTAAAAATAATAATAATTCTTAATTTGTACCTGCAAGCGATAAGGTACACTTCTTCGACTAGGAGGAGGAGGAGGAGATATGGTTGACTTGGCATCTACTTTAGTATCTTTCCTTCTCCTTCTAGATACAGATTTTCTCCTCTCGATAACTGTGAGTCTCTCAGCTGGCTCAACTGGCACTAACAGGCTTAACTCAGCGGGGGAACTCAGAAAAACGTTGGTGACCATTGACTCAGTGACTCTCTCACTCAAACCCACTTCACCATTCAAAGGTTCATCCCATGAAATTATAGGCTGAGAGATGAACCACATGCTCAATGGATAAGGCAGTGTGAACATTTGCAGCATGACACCGGCTACAGTCATTATGGCCCCGGCAAAGAAAAGTTTTGCCCAATCAATTCTGTACCCAGCGCAATGCCGGAAGAGTTGTTTCATTGTGATAGAAGCAAGGCGTCGTTGAAATACCATTTTTCATGCCATTGTGGTAGAAGATCCTAAGATGATTAGTGAAGAAAAAGTGTTTAAAAGGCTATATCATCACGAGCATATTTTGATATGGGCTTCTACTCTATGGTCCCTAATTTAAAAACCATTTGGTTGCATAAGTCAACCTGAATTCAAAAATTAAAGAATTGAGAAATGAAAAATCGAATTCCAGCTTCAATGAAGGAGAAAAATAATGAGACAAGAGACTTCAAGATGGTAAAATAAAAATTAGGTCAAGCTTGTTCAATTGTCAAAGACATATTTATTCTCATTATTATACATTTCAATATGCAGGCGTAAATACCAATTCGTGCGCTTCTAGATGCAACTTTGATGTTGCATTAATTTAAGCTTACACTTCAATGGGCCATCCGTACAGATATAACACCAATTTATGACATATAATGTAACCAAATTACTTGTAAATGCAAATAATTCTAAATATCTTCCGAGGAAACACTTTAAAATGCAACTTAGCTTAACCTTTTTTTTTTTTTTTTGCTAATAAAGAAAAAAGAGAGTTTTTTTTCCCCCCTTAAATCTTACTTTAAAAATCTGATTAGCTATTTAACTATCATTCTTCAAAACTCAGAGACTCGATCTGCGACAACCAAGCTCTCAAAGTCAACAACTCAGAAATCAGTCTAGTTAAAATACTTGATCCAAGAGATATTTATGTCCATCTAACCAAATATGAAATAGATCTACAAGCGAAGTCAATGTCATTTAATTAAGTACGACAGTATTAACTTCTGAAAGTAAATTATCCATCTCTTTTGCCGATTATTGAAATTACATGGATTCTGTACCATTTCTGACCGCGAAGCTCCTATATATATATATATATATATATATATATGTGTGTGTCCTTTCATGCCCTCAAATATATATATTAAAAGATTTAAGATTTA